GGAATATAATAACCCATGGTTTAATAGACAGTGTCAGGAAGCAAAAATGAGAAGCAGGAGGGAGTGGAGGAAGTACAGAAGACAAAGGACAGAGGACAACAAGATCAGATACAACAGAGCTAGGAATAATTACATTAACACAAGAAAAGCATCGGAAAGAAATTCTGAGAACGATATTGCGATCAAAGCGAAAAAAAAACCTAAGTTACTACACAGCCATATAAGAAGAAAAATGTCGGTGAACGACCAAGTGACAAGACTAAGGAAGACAGAGGGGGCATATACTGAAAGTGACAAGGAAATCTGCGAGGCACTGAATGCCAGTTTCCATGGAGTGTTCACTACCGAGCCTGAGCAGCTCCCATTGTTGGAAGCGATTACCCAAGATGAAAGACTATCAGATATAGAGGTGACAGCAGAGGAGGTAATGAAACAGTTGACAACACTGGATGCAACTAAATCAGTTGGACCAGACAAAGTATCACCGTGGATACTAAAAGAGGCAGCGCAGGCCCTCGGCGTGCCTCTGGCAAGGACCTTTAATGATTCCTTGACGGGGAAATTGCCCAATTCCTGGCAGAGGGCAAATGTCGTACCGATTTCCAAAAAAGGTGATAGGGAGGAGGCACTTAACTACAGACCCGTATCACTGACAAGCATCCCATGTAAAATACTTGAAAGAATAATTAGGCTATGACTTGTTGCACACCTGGAGAACGTTAAGTTTGTGAACAAACATCAACATGGGTGCTGGAAAGGGAAATCTTGCCTAAAAACTTTTTGGAATTCTATGATAAATTAACGAGGATAAGACAGGACAGGAAGGTTGGGCAGACTGCATATTTCTGGACTGCCAAAAAGCCTTTGATACAGTACGGGAGTAAGCGGAAAGGCCCTAGTATGGGTAAGGAACTACCTAACAGGAAGGAGCCAGAGGGTAATGGTAAGGGGCGAGAAGTCGGACTGGCGAACAATAACGAGTGGAGTACCTCAAGGATCAGTGCTGGGACCAATTCTATTCCTAATATACGTTAACGACATGTTTACAGGCGTAGAGTCCTACATGTCGATGTTCGCAGATGATGCAAAGTTGATGAGAAGAGTTATGACAGATGAGGATTGTAGGATCCTCCAAGAGGACCTGAACAGGTTGCAGAGATGGTCAGAGAAATGGCTACTGGAGTTCAACACGAGCAAATGTAAAGTTATGGAAATTTGATTAGGTGATATGCGACCAAAGGAACAGTACACAATGAAGGGGAACAGCCTACCTGTGACGACTCGAGAAAGAGACCTGGGTGTGGACGTAACACCTAATCTAACTCCTGAGGCACATATAAATAGGATAACGACAGCAGCGTACTCTACACTGGCAAAAGTTAGAACATCATTCAGAAACCTAAGTAAGGAGGTATTTAGGGTGCTTTACACTGCTTACGTGAGACCAATCGTAGAGTATGCCGCCTCATCATGGAGTCCCCACCTGAAGAAACACATAAGGAAACTAGAAAAGGTTCAGAGGTTTGCAACGAGACTCGTCCCAGCGTTATGAGATATGGGGTATAAAGAGCCCCTGAAGGAACTGAGACTTACGATACTAGAAAGAAGAAGGGAGAGGGGGGATATGATAAGAACGTATAAAATACTCAGAGGGATTGACAGAGTGGACATAGACGAAATGTTCACACGGAATAGTAACAGAACAAGGAAATACGAATGGAAACTGGAAACTCAGATGAGTCACAGAGATGTTAGGAAGTTTTATTTTAGCGTGAGAGTAGTGGAAAAATGGAATGCACTTGGGGAACAGGTTGTGGAAGCAAATACTATTCATAATTTTAAAACTAGATATAATAGGGAAATGGGACAGGAGTCATTGCTGTAAACAACCGATGCTCGAAAGACGTGATCCAAGAGGCAATGCTCGATCCTGCAGACACAAATAGGTGAGTACAAATAGGTGAGTACACACCCACGGACGGACGTGAGTATGACGTTTAAAAGTCGTCTCAGGGCACGTCTCAGGGCACGTCTCAGGGCACGTCTCAGAGCACGTCTCAGGGCACTCAGGGCACTAACACTCAGGGCACTCAGGGCACGTCTCAGGGCACTAACACTCATGTCCTAGAATGGTCCTGGGTCTACTATTGCCATATTTAAACTGATGTTCACATCATATGTATGCTCCTTCAATGATGTCTTAAGACTATAAGACTTCATAGTCTTATGCACGTATTCCCAAAGCGATATGAAAAGACTGAAGCCATGGTAATAATTCTTGGTCTAAAAATCTGTCATACATCTAATCTACGAGACGAATTATGTGTCTCCGGTGTTATGTGTCTCCAGTGTTATGTGTCTCCAGTGTTATGTGTCTCCAGTGTTATGTGTCTCCAGTGTTATGTGTCTCCAGTGTTATGTGTCCCCAGTGTTATGTGTCTCCAGTGTTATGTGTCCCCAGTGTTATGTGTCTCCAGTGTTATGTGTCCCTAGTGTTATGTGTCCCCAGTGTTATGTGTCTCTCCAGTGTTATGTCTCTTCAGTGTTATGTCTCTTCAGTGTTATGTGTCTCCAGTGTTATGTGTCCCCAGTGTTATGTGTCCCCAGTGTTATGTGTCCCCAGTGTTATGTGTCTCTCCAGTGTTATGTCTCTTCAGTGTTATGTGTCTCCAGTGTTATGTGTCTCCAGTGTTATGTGTCTCCAGTGTTATGTGTCTCCAGTGTTATGTGTCTCCAGTGTTATGTGTCTCCAGTGTTATGTGTCTCCAGTGTTATGTGTCTCCAGTGTTATGTGTCTCCAGTGTTATGTGTCCCCAGTGTTATGTGTCTCTCCAGTGTTATGTCTCTTCAGTGTTATGTCTCTTCAGTGTTATGTGTCTCCAGTGTTATGTGTCCCCAGTGTTATGTGTCCCCAGTGTTATGTGTCCCCAGTGTTATGTCTCTTCAGTGTTATGTGTCTCCAGTGTTATGTGTCCCCAGTGTTATGTGTCCCCAGTGTTATGTGTCCCCAGTGTTATGTGTCTCTCCAGTGTTATGTCTCTTCAGTGTTATGTGTCTCCAGTGTTATGTGTCCCCAGTGTTATGTGTCTTCAGTGTTATGTGTCTCCAGTGTTATGTGTCTCCAGTGTTATGTGTCTCTTCAGTGTTATGTGTCTCCAGTGTTATGTGTCCCCAGTGTTATGTGTCTCCAGTGTTATGTGTCTCCGGTGTTATGTGTCTCCAGTGTTGTGTGTCTCCAGTGTTATGTGTCTCCAGTGTTATGTGTCTCCAGTGTTATGTGTCTCTCCAGTGTTATGTGTCTCCCCAGTGTTATGTGTCCCCAGTGTTATGTGTCTCCAGTGTTATGTGTCCCAGTGTTATGTGTCTCCAGTGTTATGTGTCTCTCCAGTGTTATGTGTCTCTCAAGTGTTATGTGTCCCCAGTGTTATGTGTCCCCAGTGTTATGTGTCTCCAGTGTTATGTGTCTCCAGTGTTATGTGTCTCCAGTGTTATGTGTCTCCAGTGTTATGTGTCTCCAGTGTTATGTGTCTCCAGTGTTATGTGTCCCCAGTGTTATGTGTCCCCAGTGTTATGTGTCTCCAGTGTTATGTGTCCCTAGTGTTATGTGTCTCCAGTGTTATGTGTCCCCAGTGTTATGTGTCTCCAGTGTTATGTGTCCCCAGTGTTATGTGTCTCCAGTGTTATGTGTCCCCAGTGTTATGTGTCTCTCCAGTGTTATGTGTCTCCAGTGTTATGTGTCCCCAGTGTTATGTGTCTCTCCAGTGTTATGTCTCTTCAGTGTTATGTGTCTCCAGTGTTATGTGTCTCCAGTGTTATGTGTCTCCAGTGTTATGTGTCTCCAGTGTTATGTGTCTCCAGTGTTATGTGTCTCCAGTGTTATGTGTCTCCAGTGTTATGTGTCTCCAGTGTTATGTCTCTCCAGTGTTATGTGTCCCCAGTGTTATGTGTCTCCAGTGTTATGTGTCTCCAGTGTTATGTGTCTCCAGTGTTATGTGTCTCCAGTGTTATGTGTCTCCAGTGTTATGTGTCCAGAGTGTTATGTGTCTCCAGTGTTATGTGTCTCCAGTGTTATGTGTCTCCAGTGTTATGTGTCTCCAGTGTTATGTCTCTCCAGTGTTATGTGTCCCCAGTGTTATGTGTCTCCAGTGTTATGTGTCTCCAGTGTTATGTGTCTCCAGTGTTATGTCTCTCCAGTGTTATGTGTCTCCAGTGTTATGTGTCTCCAGTGTTATGTGTCTCCAGTGTTATGTGTCTCCAGTGTTATGTGTCCCCAGTGTTATGTCTCTCCATTGTTATGTGTCTCCAGTGTTATGTGTCTCCAGTGTTATGTGTCTCCAGTGTTATGTGTCCCCAGTGTTAAAAGCAGTGTTAAGGAATGGAATGCTAAGTTGGCAATTAAGCCTAAAACCCCACTTCAGTAATGTTGCCAAGAGAGTTGTGAGTCATGTGTTATTTACGTATCATCAACATAGCTCAATAGACCCAACAATAACAATGAACCAGGAAGAGAATGGACATGAGTAAACACTTTAACAAAGAAATACAAGAAATTATATGACAATCAATTCAAAAAGTACATAATACTCGGTAAATAAAATTTTTTTAAGAAAAGAGTAACACAAAAATATCTTATTAAAGCGGAGAATGTGAAAATGTAATTAATGTCCTGTAATATTATATAAACTTTCTTAATTATAAATGTACAACCATTTAGAGAATAAAGCTTCTAATTTGACTGTGGTGACAGGTCCGTCGACAGCGCCATCTATTGATTGCGGGCAAAACCAGAAAGTGGCCACGTGACGCAGATCATCACACAGTTTCTTTACCGCTTACTTTAATTGTTGTCCTCGCTGGTGGTCAGCGTTGGTCTGTACACTTCTTCCCGAGAGTACAGTGGAGACACTTGTTGGAGCTCTCTGCCCCTCGCTCATCCTTAGGCTTTTATTCTCCAGCAACCGTTGGAATCCTATTTTAACATGTGTATTTTAGTCCTTCAGAATGGTGAGTTGCTGCTGATATTTATACAAGAGGTATGATGTGCTGGGTACAATATACTTCGGTTAACTAGTCCTCGGCCTACATATGGTTGGTTACTTGTCAAATGATGGTTTTCCTCGGTCAAAATATATTGGTAATTACACTAAAAATTAATTAAATCCATAATTTATTCCATGTAGCCTAAGAAAAATTGTTAATTTAAAGAGGATTGTTGGTATAGATTAAGTGCGGGGTGTGAGTGAGATTTAATTTGGTAGGATAATTCTCAAAGCTAGATATGGATGACCCAATCGGGTTAAAAGGCTAATGGCACTAATTTAATTTTCTAAAATTCATATAAATCGCAACTAATCTGTAATGGGTTTTATTTTACAGAATCCTTGACGGGTATTCGTGGACGCTTGGGAAGTGAAGTACAAAATGACTTGAAAAGACGAACGCTATTAAGCTTCCAAGAGTGTCTGAGATTGTCTGAACCAGTACAGCTACTCGAAGCTAGGAAAGATTTTAAAAATAGTATTTTAGGATTTATTAGTCTTGAACATGAAGTGAAAGACGGGAATATTTCGGACCATTGCCTACGGACGCAATTTGGTGTAAATGGCCGTCTCACGACCAAGAATAACTTGAAAAAAATTAATCCTACAGATAATTGCTCAAAATATGAGTGTTTAGCAAGCTCTTATGCTTACACAAATACTTTACCAGGTCACCAAGATGGTGACCTCAAGGATATGGTAGGAAATGGGCGGGAGAGACGATACGAGTGCCAGAGTGAGCCAGTATTTGACAAAACCTGGAAAAACGATATCCAGGTTTGGCAGGATGCAGAATCGATGTCGTCTCGGAACGACGCGTCTAGGTGTTGGCTGGAGTCCGTTTCGGGCCTCGACCCTGACGACTGGCATGATGCTGACGAAGACGCGTACGGTAAAGTTGAAGTGCGTGATAGTTTGGTTCCTGGACAGAACACGAGCACTAATGTGCTGTTAGATGCTGAGGCCTCCGGTGCTGGTGCCACTGGTGCTGGTGCCACTGGTGCCTCTGGTGGCGGTGCTGGGGCCACTGGTGCCTCTGGTGGCGGTGCTGGGGCCACTGGTGCCTCTGGTGGCGGTGCTGGGGCCACTGGTGCCTCTGGTGGCGGTGCTGGGGCCACTGGTGCCTCTGGTGGCGGTGCTGGGGCCACTGGTGCCTCTGGTGGCGGTGCTGGGGCCACTGGTGCCTCTGGTGGCGGTGCTGGGGCCACTGGTGCCTCTGGTGGCGGTGCTGGGGCCACTGGTGCCTCTGGTGGCGGTGCTGGGGCCACTGGTGCCTCTGGTGGCGGTGCTGGGGCCACTGGTGCCTCTGGTGGCGGTGCTGGGGCCACTGGTGCCTCTGGTGGCGGTGCTGGGGCCACTGGTGCCTCTGGTGGCGGTGCTGGGGCCACTGGTGCCTCTGGTGGCGGTGCTGGGGCCACTGGTGCCTCTGGTGGCGGTGCTGGGGCCACTGGTGCCTCTGGTGGCGGTGCTGGGGCCACTGGTGCCTCTGGTGGCGGTGCTGGGGCCACTGGTGCCTCTGGTGGCGGTGCTGGGGCCACTGGTGCCTCTGGCGGCGGTGCTGGGGCCTCTGGTGCCTCTGGCGGTGGTGCTGGGGCCTCTGGTGGTGGTGCTGGGGCCACTGGTGCCTCTGGTGGTGGTGCTGGGGCCACTGGTGCCTCTGGTGGTGGTGCTGGGGCCACTGGTGCCTCTGGTGGTGGTGCTGGGGCCACTGGTGCCTCTGGTGGTGGTGCTGGGGCCACTGGTGCCTCTGGTGGTGGTGCTGGGGCCACTGGTGCCTCTGGTGGTGGTGCTGGGGCCACTGGTGCCTCTGGTGGCGGTGCTGGGGCCACTGGTGCCTCTGGTGGCGGTGCTGGGGCCACTGAGCGCAGTACTGGGGGTGCTGGGGCCACTGAACGCAGTACTGGGGATGCTGGGGCCTCCGGACGCAGTGCTGGGGCCTCCGGTGGCGGTGCTGGGGGTGCTGGGACGTCCGGACGCAGTGCTGGGGCCACTGAGCGCAGTACTGGGGCCACTGAGCGCAGTACTGGGGCCACTGAGCGCAGTACTGGGGCCACTGAGCGCAGTACTGGGGCCACTGAGCGCAGTACTGGGGCCACTGAGCGCAGTACTGGGGCCACTGAGCGCAGTACTGGGGATGCTGGGGCCTCCGGACGCAGTGCTGGGGCCACTGAGCGCAGTTCTGAGGGCTCTAAGGGCTCTGGTCGCAGTCCTGGGGGCTCTGGTCGCAGTCCTGGGGGTGCTAAGGGCTCTGGGCGCAGTCCTGGGGGTGCTAAGGGCTCTGGGCTCAGTCATGGGGGTGCTAAGGGCTCTGGGCGCAGTCATGGGGGTGCTAAGGGCTCTGGGCGCAGTCCTGGGGATGCTAAGGGCTCTGGGCGCAGTCGCAGTCCTGGGGGCTCTGGGCGCAGTCGCAGTCCTGGGGGTGCTAAGGGCTCTGGGCGCAGTCCTGGGGGTGCTAAGGGCTCTGGGCGCAGTCGTGGGGGTGCTAAGGGCTCTGGGCGCAGTCCTGGGGGTGCTAAGGGCTCTGGGCGCAGTCCTGGGGATGCTAAGGGCTCTGGGCACAGTCGCAGTCCTGGGGGCTCTGGGCGCAGTCATGGGGATGCTAAGGGCTCTGGGCACAGTCGCAGTCCTGGGGGCTCTAAGGGCTCTGGGCGCAGTCATGGGGGTGCTAAGGGCTCTGGGCGCAGTCCTGGGGATGCTAAGGGCTCTGGTCGCAGTCCTGGGGGCTCTAAGGGCTCTGGGCACAGTCGCAGTCCTGGGGGCTCTAAGGGCTCTGGGCGCAGTCCTGGGGGCTCTGGGCGCAGTCGCAGTCCTGGGGGTGCTAAGGGCTCTGGGCGCAGTCCTGGGGGTGCTAAGGGCTCTGGGCGCAGTCCTGGGGGTGCTAAGGGCTCTGGGCGCAGTCATGGGGGTGCTAAGGGCTCTGGGCGCAGTCCTGGGGGTGCTAAGGGCTCTGGGCGCAGTCCTGGGGATGCTAAGGGCTCTGGGCACAGTCGCAGTCCTGGGGGCTCTGGGCGCAGTCCTGGGGATGCTAAGGGCTCTGGGCACAGTCGCAGTCCTGGGGGCTCTGGGCGCAGTCATGGGGATGCTAAGGGCTCTGGGCACAGTCGCAGTCCTGGGGGCTCTAAGGGCTCTGGGCGCAGTCGCAGTCCTGGGGGTGCTAAGGGCTCTGGGCGCAGTCATGGGGGTGCTAAGGGCTCTGGGCGCAGTCCTGGGGGTGCTAAGGGCTCTGGGCGCAGTCCTGGGGATGCTAAGGGCTCTGGGCGCAGTCGCAGTCCTGAGGGCTCTAAGGGCTCTGGGCGCAGTCATGGGGGTGCTAAGGGCTCTGGGCGCAGTCCTGGGGATGCTAAGGGCTCTGGTCGCAGTCCTGGGGGCTCTAAGGGCTCTGGGCACAGTCGCAGTCCTGGGGGCTCTAAGGGCTCTGGGCGCAGTCCTGGGGGCTCTGGGCGCAGTCGCAGTCCTGGGGGTGCTAAGGGCTCTGGGCGCAGTCCTGGGGGTGCTAAGGGCTCTGGGCGCAGTCATGGGGGTGCTAAGGGCTCTGGGCGCAGTCCTGGGGGTGCTAAGGGCTCTGGGCGCAGTCCTGGGGCTGCTAAGGGCTCTGGGCACAGTCGCAGTCCTGGGGGCTCTGGGCGCAGTCCTGGGGATGCTAAGGGCTCTGGGCACAGTCGCAGTCCTGGGGGCTCTGGGCGCAGTCATGGGGATGCTAAGGGCTCTGGGCACAGTCGCAGTCCTGGGGGTGCTAAGGGCTCTGGGCGCAGTCATGGGGGTGCTAAGGGCTCTGGGCGCAGTCCTGGGGGTGCTAAGGGCTCTGGGCGCAGTCCTGGGGATGCTAAGGGCTCTGGGCACAGTCGCAGTCCTGGGGGCTCTAAGGGCTCTGGGCGCAGTCGCAGTCCTGAGGGCTCTAAGGGCTCTGGGCGCAGTACTGGGGACTCTGGGCGCAGTACTGGGTGTGCTAGGACCTCCGGGCTCGGTGCTGGGGCCTCTGGGCGCAGTACTGAGGCTTCTGGGCACAGTTCTGGGTGTGCTAGGACCTCGGGGCTCAGTACTGGGGGTGATGGGGCCTCTGGGCGCAGTACTGGGGCTTCTGGGGGTGTTAGGACCTCTGGGCCTAGTACTGGGGTCTCCGGGCACAGTACTGGTGGTCCTAGGGCCTCTGGGCGCAGTCCTGGGAGTGCTAAGGGCTCTGGGCGCAGTCCTGGGGCTTCTGAGCGCAGTCCTGGGGGTGCTAAGGGCTCTGGGCGCAGTCCTGGGGCTTCTGGGCGCAGTACTAGGGCCTCTGGGCGCAGTCCCGGGGGTGCTAAGGGCTCTGGGCGCAGTCCTGGGGGTGCTAAGGGCTCTGGGCGCAGTCCTGGGGCTTCTGGGCGCAGTCCTGGGGCTTCTGGGCGCAGTACTAGGGCTTCTGGGCGCAGTCCTGGGGGTGGTAAGGGCTCTGGGCGCAGTCCTGGGGCTTCTGGGCGCAGTCCTGGGGCTTCTGGGCGCAGTACTGGCGGTGCTGGAGCCTCTCCTAGCAGTACTAGGACTCGGAGGGGTGCTGGGACGTCCAGCCGCGGTGCTGGGGCCGGCGGTGCCAGGAGCTCTGCAAGGGCTCCACGACGTATAAAGAAAACGGTTAACACGGCTGCATTGCGAAGGCGGGAAGAAAAGCTTTCAACTGTGTTAAGGAAGCCTGCAAAGACTTACATTCGCAAGCCTGGTCGTAACACAAGACTTCGGCACCGGCCTGGTGCTGCCAGGCCTCGGGACGCCTGTATGCACAACATAAGCGCTGAGGATGTTTCTCGCTGGCAGAGCGGTGTCCCACGGTCCTATACGTCTCGAGAAATAATAGATTCATTTATTGAGAAAGTTCGCAGAGATCGTGCGGCTGAAATGGAAGGGACGTCCTTCATTGACGAGGCTACGATTCGGGAAAATCGTGAAAACGCACGGCTCGTAGTCTTGTGTCTGTTGTTTACTACAGCAGCGTTCTACTTGGACAATACTCCCCGAGAAGACGCGAACTTAAGTTTAGATGAAGATACTTACTCGTCTAGTACAGATAAAGAATCTTATTCCTCTAGTATGGATAAAGATTGTGGCTCTTCTAGTTCAGATAAGGTTTCTGACTCTAGTAACTAAAGATAAAGAATCGGATTCTTCTAGTTCAGACTGAAGAGGCTACAGCCCGACATAATGAAGTCGATGCTAGGTGGAATCTTACTGTGGCTAAAACAAGATTTTAAAACAGACTGATGCAAGAGAAAGGTAAGATACTTTAGTGACACTTAAATTATTGATGGTCACGAAGTTTGTCAAGATTTTACTTTACACACAGTAGCTTATCCACTTAAAAACTAGGGCACACAAATTACAATATTTTGTAAATTTGCGAATCGAATGAATCATGTTAGGCTAGATGATTGTTTCAGTGTCATTTTTTTTAAATTTGCCAGTGACTTTAAATTGCCTACTGTATTTTAAGTGGAAATATTGGCTTTGCCGGGATTTGAAGCATAATGATTCTTGTATTAATGAGGTAACTGGATTTTGTGCACTATTTTTCTAGCTGTACCCAGCCACACGTTGCTGTGGCTCGGCATCACATGCGCATTGGTGAGCCACAGCAACCCTACCATATCCTCCCACCATTCCCCAACTTCCCTCACTCCCCGGTCATCTTACGTCCAACAGATGGCGTTTTTCAAAAGCGTTTTTTTTTTCCCTGTCACAGGCGAGGCATGTACATGGTAAGTATAAGAGGTTACGAAAATTTCCTTCACATGAAAGTATTTTTCCGTCAGACATGACGTCTACATAGTAGGTATATAAAAACCCGCTCGGATACGAATGGAACATTGTGACAACTTCAAAACAATCGGTGAAGAACTTTCAGTGATTAGCGATTATGAGCAAACGAACATTTCCATATTTATGTATACAGGTGAATTGGTCTTTAACTTTGTTATACATTTTCAGTTCTGTATTTCGCCTGAGCAATGAATTAAGACTACAAAAGCTTCAATAGTGATGTGCTAGATAATTTCACTGGAAATTGCCGGTGTAATAGACGGCACGGTACCTGCCATCAGTTCTTGAGACTTTTGTAAGTATATTCTTGTCTGTTTCTAACTAGACTAAATACCACCTTGTGGTGAAACAATTCTTGGTCTTCGGTATTTTGGCTCTAGATTCTTGTTTTGGACAACTTTGGTACCAAGACTTGTAACTTCGGTCCACTTGGCTATAAATTTTTTGACCCCAAATATTCTCGCAGCAGCGGGGTTATTTTAGCTTATTTCAGACCAAATACGTTATATAACTTGTGGCTAATTGGTCAACATTGAACACTCGTATAATTTAAATTTTCTTAAATATGTGGGGGTAACCGGCGGTGCCCGGGTCGACTATATTCCCAGGCCTCTGTTCAGTTATTTATCCTAGTGGCCTGGACGAGGACAGGAAGCGGGCGGCTTGTCAAAGGTACCCTCCATTTGCCTTTACCTTTCCCAGGTATATTTTGACATTTTGGAAGACATTGTGGTTATGTATTTAAATTAAAATGAGTGAACAATGTGCTAGATTTTTAAAATTTAGTAATATAATTTTGGTAAATTGCAATCTTCCACAAAATCCCCACAGTGGGGGGTATGGGTTCATGTCGCTTAATAAATTAAAATTTAAAAAATCGGTAGTTATTTTACTAATTTTAATAGTAAAGCTACTTGTATGGAAGACGAACATGTACTCGCTTTACAACGAAATTATTAGTATACGACCACAAGCCTACTTGCTGCTAAAAGAACGAATTCGCTTTTAAGAATTTTATTTAAATGAATTTGTGCGGTCTGCATTGTAGCTAAACGGCGTTCATAGCTGGTAACACTCCTCCTTGAAGTGCAGTAGCAAGCAAGATCAATAATAAGAGAACCCTATGCAAGCCGGGCAAGGTGAGCGTCTGGTCAATAATGGCTGTCTCTCGAACCGTAACCGGCTTGGAACACATCCTGCCGGTAAGGTATTATTAATGCAACATTATGAAAACACTAGGTGATCCACAAATTGCCAGACATTTTGTTAGATTACACCCATTGGTATTTTCAATGTGTGCTCGGCTACTGACGCTAAGGGGAGGGTGGCAAGCCATAATTATTTTTAAAACAAAAGGCTGTTCCTGGTTCAGGTTTCTACCCTGTCATTCATTCCTCAAACAACTGTTGGCATGGTCGTTGGTCTAGTGTTACAGGTAATAGACTACACTTAAACGTAACCTGTCCCCCCCTTTGCCTGCCTTCTACACCATGTAGACGGTGAGAAACTGCTCTGGCTAGTTTGTATTGATCATACAAGCTTGTCTCGCTGGCACTTGTACGCTTTTGTTCTCGTATTGGCATCCTTGGTGATGTTTAGGCTTCCTGAATACCCGCACATTTGACACGCAGCCTTTGGGGCTTGGTGCCTTTTGACTATTTTTATTATTTCAAATTTACCCCAGGTCGATAAACAGACGTTAACATTACCCACTACACATATCATTTCACGGGTGATAGGTGTTCAACACCTAACCACCCCTTCTCTACCTTTTTTAACAAGAAACTGAACTTTAAATGTTTATCATTTAAATATTATTCATTCATTACGACTTAACTTTCAGCTTGTAACACTGGCCGTTTGTGGTGAACGAGATGCTGCGAGACCTCCAGAGACGCAAGGTTTACCAAGTCTGTGGCGCTGAAGAACGTGATGCCTGTCAAGAGATTTTGTGATTGTTCCTTTGGAGAAGGGAACTAGATATTAACACAACTGGCCCATGAGAGGTTTTGAGAGCTAGACACCATTGTAAACAGTTGCCAAACTGTTTCAAACTTTGTTGCAAGATCTCAAATAAGAGAACATATCGAATAGAAAACTATTTTAATTGAGCTCGTGCAGAATTTTACTAGAATTTTATTGTGAAGTGAATCCAAAGTAGGATTTAGATTTTTAAATTTTTTTAACCTCGCCCTTATTGAAGTTTAAAAAAAATGTTAGCGCGGTAGGCTATTAGGAAAGTACTTCGATAATTCACGGAGCAGTTTAGATTGAATTGAACCACTTTTCTAGCCTAAGACTTTGGGAAGAAGTCAAAACGAACTTTTGCCTGGCTCACAAATGTTCATTTAAATTTTATTTAGACCTGCATCTTTCGTATTCATTAATCTGGCATTCGTGTGGTCTGACATTTTACCCAAATCCATGAAAGAGGCATACACCGGCTCCACTGTACAAATTGGCTAGTTAAGTGGGCATTACGGATACTTATTCTGTACTTGCAACGTTCATATTTTAAATTCGGCCATGCTATACCTTAAAAACTAATTGCGACATATTAGTGACAGCTAAAATTTTTACATTGCCGTCATGTATTTTAAATTCACTTGTTTTAAGTTATCAAATACCTTTTTAACTAAATTATTTGCATCTAACCAGTCTTTTTAGTCGCCCCTATTAACTAATATACGCTTCCTGCCACACGGTACAACGTGATGCAAAATCCTGACAGTTTACATTAAGGAACTAGTAGATTCCTACTCTAATGTGTTTATCAGACATAATTATCCTCTACATGGTTTCCAGGGTTCCTTGTGAGCAGACAATGCGTTTCTTGCACTGATTATCATGTTAATGTCATGGTGTAGAAAGCATTATAAGAGGTACTTCTGAAATTGCTACACCTTACTGGCTGACATAATGTAGATATAAATTGTTTAGAATGTAATCATCATAGGCTGTCTGTAGCACAGACGGCTGGCATGTAGCCAGCAGGCCTGTAAGTGCTTCACTAAAATAAACTGTCTAGATTAAAGTAAAACGTAAAATTTGTTCAGAGTATGACAGGGAAAACGACTTATTAGTCCTCTGTGGTCGATGCTGGTATACTGTACTTAAGAATATTCCAACGTGTTGGCTGGACTTGACAGTGAATATAGAGTAACTGGGCAAATCTGTAAATGTTCATTTACTAGGTAAACTAATGTGAAATGTTTGGTTAACTTTGGAAGTTGTGCCATTATTGAAACGGAACAAGATTTTTTAGTTTACTTTATTGGTAGAGAAAAGTATTTGATATATGCTGTTTTTTTTATGAATTTACATTATTCAGTTTTAAAAAATTTGTTACACATGAACACCTTGAGCTGCTCCACCAATCACCTTCGACACAAATGTATAGGGAAAGTGCCAGAACATTATCTGGACTTTCCCACACATGGCAATAAAGTTGGTTAAAAGTGATTTTTGTTTGTTTTGACAAGTTGTTAAACATTGACTGTTCCATTACCGCTTGTAGTTGAAGCCAGGACCCCCTCCCCGCTCAGCTCGTTGTCGCCGTGTGGGGGCTTCGTGGGCGGCTGCCGGAGTGTGATGCTCCTTAGGACAGTCCTGTCCTTTTCTCGCCTTGTGCTCCTGCTGCCGTCCTCTCCAATTCTGCTGGGCACCTTTTCCTTTTCCTTCTGTTTCGTTTTTCTCCCCCCTCTTCTCCTATCTGCTTGCCGTTTCCTGCCGACCTTTTGCTCGTTCTGGTTCTTCCATGGACTTCTTCTATTTTGACGCCCGGGTGCTTGAGGAGGCATACTCATGCACCCGTAGAACTGCAGTACCCGACGTCGAGAGCGAGGGGAACCTTTTATTGTCAATCCCCACTTCGTCACTGAACCCGATCTCGACGGACTGTCGGTTTCTTAAGGTGGCGTTTGTGGGGCGTATACTCACGACGCACCCCTAGGAGGCCCCGACAAGATCGGCGATAGCTTCTTGTTGGGTGTCCTGCCTCTAATTGTGGCTCCATGGTGGGTGTGGGGGCACATTCGTGAGTGAATTCTTCTTTTCGTCAAGATGATAACCCCTGTTTCGGCTGCTTCTGGCTTACCTTCTCAGGCTCGTGGGGTGGGCGACCAAGCCCCCGAGTCGGTCCGTATTGGAAGACCGGGCTCTGTAGCCTCCGCTGCACTGGGCCCCGACCTTGCTCCTCCTTTGGCCTCTGACTCCTTCCCCTGGCTCCCCTCCCTCCTCTGTGGTTGGGTCGAGCCCCAAGCCCCCAGTGGTGACTACCTCGTCCCCTGGTGCGGCTCCTTCTCTAGTTGTAACTACTGCGCCTTTTAACCCCTCTCTCTCTGGGGGTTCTCACCGCCGTCCTCGTCACGGCCGCCCTCGCTCGATTCCTTCCAGTTCTGCTACCTATCAAGCCTTGTTTGGTCCCGCTTCGTGGGCCAAATATTTTGATCTCCTCCCTCTTGATTCTGCGCCTCCTGACGATTTCTCCCTCCATCGACATCTCATTGATTCCGTGGATGCCTCCATTACTTTCAACCCCACTCGTCTCGGTACACGTGTCGTTGCTGCTGCTTCTCAGGATGCTGCTTCCCGCTTGGCTGCCTTATCCTGCCTTGGCGAGACCCCCGTTCGGGTCTCGAAGAACGTCCAGTTGAATGCCAGTGTTGGCACTATTTTGCTCCCGCCCCATGTTGCAACCGGTGTTCGGGACCTGCGCGACTGCCACGACGATATTCGACACATCCTCGCTGCCCAGGGCCATTCTATTCTCCAGGTGGACACGTTTACTCGTCCCCCTCGTGGTAGTCGCCGTCAACCCCTCCGGGTTGTGAAGATTACCTTTGATGGTAGGACCCTTCCACCCTCTGTCATTCTTGCTGGTGCCAGGTGCTCTGTCCAGGAGTACATTCCTTCTCCTCGGCTCTGCAACAAGTGCTGGAGGTTTGGGCATGGTGCCCTCCGCTGCTCCGGGACTGTCTCTCTGTCCTTTGTGTGGTGGCGAAGGTCACTCTAAGTCGGAGTGCGCTTCTCCCCAGGCTCGTTGCCTCAACTGCGGTGAGGCCCATCCTACCTTCTCCCGTGCGTGTGTCCATTACAAGCTTGAGGCAGCCGTCCTCAACCTGAAGCACCGGGAGCGTTTATCTTTTCCTGAGGCGAGGCGCCAGGTTCGCTGGCTCCCGCCTTATGCTAATATCTCTTATGCTCGCGTGTTGCGCTCTTCCTCTCCTCGTCCTTCCCGCCTTCCTCAGACTCACAACCGTTTCCGGGCCTTGGACCCTGATGCGCCCACTGCCCCCTCCTCTGTTCCTTTGGGTTCTCTCCCGAAGGATCCTCCTCCTGGTCCTCTGTCTGGGGTTCCCCTTCCTTCTACCCGGTCTGTCGTGTCTTCTTCCTCGTCCCCCTCCGATCCTCCTTCCCATCCTCTTCCTCCATCTATCGGCTCTCCCCACCGCCTGTCGGTGCGGGCGGATGTCCATCGCTCTCCTAACGGCCGTCGTGTGTGCTCTCGTTCGGCTTCTCCTGTTGAGACACTGGAATCCGTTGCCCGGTACGTAGTTGCTGCGACACCGGTCTCTTTAAGTCAGAAGCGTAAGCCTGGCTCCTCTCCTTCCTCTTCCCCGGCGGGTAAGAAGGCTTCGCTTTCTTCCTCAGCTCCTCCTTCTGGCTCTGTTGCTCCTTCCCCTCCCGTTTCAGTGCTTGCGCCCCCTGTTCCTGCTATGGAGGTTTCTTTGGCCCCTGCTTCCCTTTCGGTTGCTGCTCTTGCTGGGGTGCGCTCCCCTCTTTCTACTCCCCCTCCTCCTGCTGCTGTCTTTGACTGCTCCTCTCCGTTGTCTCCTCTTCTTCCTCCTCCTCCTCCGGACCCTGCCCGCCCACCTCTGATCTGTTCTCCAGTTTCCTTCCCTCCGTCTTTGCTCAGTTTACCCATGCCCCCTAACCCTGACTTTGCTGACCCTGATCCCGACCCTGATATTCTTTAACGTGCTCTGTTGCTCTTTCGCCTTTGTTTCTTCCTTGTTCTCTGTTTTTGTCCTTTCTCTTCTCGTCGTTGTCCATTCTTCAATGGAACGTTCGAGGTTATTACGCCAATTTCCTCGAACTCCAACTTCTGATTTCGCGGTTTTCGCCCCTTTGTGTCTGTTTCCAGGAGCCAATGCTTGGTGCTCGTCCTGGTCGTTTTCGTGGCTATTCCTTTCTCTCCCCCCCCCCCCCCAGCCATTGCTGGGGCTTCTAATTCTTCTGCTCTCTTGATTCGGGCTGATGTTCCCTTTGTTCCTTTACTTTTTCCTTCGCCTCTCCATTGTTCTGCTGCTCGTATCTTTGTGGGGAAATGGTACACAGTTTGTTCCATTTATCTCCCCCCGAGTGTCCCGCTCTCTCTTCCTGATTTGAAACACCTCCTGGACTCCTGGCCGGAGCCTGTGCTCCTGCTGGGTGACTTCAATTGTCGTCATTCTCTTTGGGGTGACGTTCTGACGAATACCCGGGGTCGCCTCCTTGAGCCGTTTCTCCTCTCTTCTTCCCTGTCTCTTCTGAATTCTGGTGAGCCCACTCATTTGGACTCTCGGACTCGCACCCTTTCTTGTCTTTATCTTTCTCTCTGCTCTTCTTCTCTTTACTTAGATTTCACGTGGCAGGTTCTTGATGACCTCCATGGAAGTGATCATTTCCCCATCCTTGTTTCCTTTTTCTCTTTTCGCCCTTCCCTCTCTTTCCCTAGGTGGCGGTTTGCTAAGGCAGACTGGACCCTATTTACCCTCAGTGCTGCTCTCCCTGACCTCTCCCTTCTGCCTCTCTCTCGCGCTCTCCTCCTTTTTCATGACACTGTCTTCAACGCTGCCCTCCGCTCTATTCCTCGCTCTTCCTCTCGGGGTCCACGGAAGTGCGTTCCCTGGTGGAATGCGGACTGTGCTCGGGCTGTCCGCTGTAAGCGTGCAGCCGGAAGAGGCACCGCCGTAGGCAGACGACCGATTCTTTTTCTTTTCTTTCGGAAAGCGAGTGCGGTGGCCCGTAGGGCCATCCGTACGGCTAAACGTGAATGTTGGGCATCTTATGTCTCAACAATTACGTCCGAGACCCCTCTGGCCCAGATCTGGAAGCGTATCCGCAAGATAGCGGGTAAGTTCGTTCCCGATGTTTCACCGGTCCTTCACCTCCATGATACTCTTGTGGCGGACCCGTTGCAGGTCGCTTCCGAACTGGGTTCCCACTTTTCTTCTGTTAGCTCTGGTCTTCATCTTCCCCAATCTTTCCTTCTTCGTAAACCTGTCCTTGAGTCTCGTCCTTTAGATTTCTGCACTCATCTTCAGCTTCCCTATAATGATCCCTTCTCTCTCTCTGAACTTCGGTCTGCCCTGGCCCTCTGCGGTTCTACGGCGGCGGGCTCCGATGGTATTCATTATGAGATGCTTCGCCATCTCCCTCCGAGCACGTCTCAGTATTTACTGAGTCTGTATAATCGGATCTGGGAGTCGTCGTCAGTCCCTGAGGACTGGCTCGATGCCGTTGTCCTCCCTGTTCGCAAACCGGGGTCTCTGGGTACTTCCCCTAAGGACTTTCGGCCTATTGCTCTCACAAGTTGTGTCTGCAAACTCTTTGAACGTATGGTTAACGTTCGTCTGATGTGGTTCCTGGAACACCATCACCTCCTCTCCCCTTCTCAATTTGGTTTCCGCAAGTGCCGCAGCACGACAGATGTCCTGGTGAACTTGGAGGTCTATATTCGTACTGCTTTTGCTGCGAAGACCTCCGTTGTTGCCGTCCTTTTTGACCTAGAAAAGGCTTACGACACCACTTGGCGTTATCATATCCTATCTCAACTTCATTCTTTTGGCCTTCGTGGTCATCTCCCTCTCTTTCTCCGCAGCTTCCTCTCTCGTCGTTCCTTTCGGGTGCGCCTTGGTACCGCTCTCTCTCCCTCTTTTCAGCAATACGAAGGTGTGCCCCAGGGTAGTGTTCTGAGCACTACTCTTTTTCTGGTTGCCCTCAATGGTCTTCTTTCCTCTCTTCCTTCTGGTGTCTTCTCCGCTCTCTATGTCGATGATCTTACCCTTTGTTGTCAGGGTGATGATTCGCCTCTCCTTCAACGCCGGCTTCAACTTGCAATTGATGCCGTGTCGTCTTGGGCCACAGGTCATGGCTTCAAGTTCTCTACTTCTAAGACTTGTGCCATGACTTTTACGCGGAAACGGGTTGTTCTTCGTCCCTCTTTGTCACTTTATGGTCATCCCCTTGAATACAAAGATTCCGCGAAGCTTTTGGGGTTATTCCTTGACACTCGTTTGTCTTGGTCTCCCCATATCTCTTACCTCCGTGTTGAGTGCTCTAAGGCCCTTACCCTCCTTCGGGTCTTGTCCCATACTTCTTGGGGGGCAGATAGGCGCACTCTCCTTGCTTTACATTCCTCTCTCGTCCTGTCTAAGCTCGATTATGGTTGCCCTGCTTACTCGTCTGCTTCTCCTTCT